TTTAGTGTGTTTCAATCACTTTTGTATTCCTGCCAAAGAACGAGCCCAGTTGTTACGAAACAAAGAGTCCTGTTTCCTCATTTCTTCATGGCATGTATCTGTTGGTCACATTTCACACTCATGTCTATTTACAAAGGCAAAGGCCTGGCCTCTGGGGTTAGCTGTTCAAAAGAATCGGCCCGTAGACATACAACAGTCAACTGAGCAGTAAGAGTCTTAAGAATTAAATAAGCAAATAAACAAAATGGACCCCATTGAGAAAGCTTGACTTTGTCTTTGCAGCCAGTTGTCTCAATTTCTAGCCTTTACAAGAGCCAAGATCTCTTTATTTCTCAACAGAAAAGTAAAAGCTGGACCAGTCTTATGACCCAGAATTATTTTCCTAACCTAATTCTTAGCCATGGTGCCTTCTAGACTGGCATGCCATTTTCAAAGTGGATTGAGATGAATTGTAAAAGAACAACAATGGCTTTATAGGTGGCCCATGAAAGGATACTTCCACAACTAAAAACCATCTCAGGGAGGCTCAGTTCCCAAACACAAAGAGTATCTGATAACAACTAAGTGCAGAGGTGGCAGAATCCACCTCTGGTCCTGCTAACACCCTATAAAGCAGAAGAGAATTGAAAGCATGGTATGAATAAGGGAAGTTGACCCTTCCCTTTGCCAATATATCTCAATGTGACACCTTTTCTTTAAAGCTGTTTGTCTTCTAAAAGGGCTTACCTACTGTCAAGGAATCTCATCTCAGAAAAACGTTTTTTAAGTTTAAAGAAAAAGTGTAGGTTTTGTTTGTTCCCGTGATCTTGCCTAGTCATGTTGCACCTTACTGCTTTATAGCAATTGCGGAAAACAATCAGGCACACAAAAGCCTGATTCAGAAAGGCTCCATGACAAAAGTGGGGGTCTAAGTCTTCCATCTTGTGTGTCCTCCTGATCCAAAACAGCACCATCCACTGCTATCTGTTCCACTGGGGAATAGTATGCTTGTATGTCTGCTCCAGTGGGGCAAATTGCACCTCCTGGGACTATTTTATATTGGGGAAACAGCAACTGATAGAACGCTTAAACATCCCTTCACTCATGTTATGATCCCAATCTGAATCAGGTCCCATTCCCCTGATGATTAAATTAAAAACAAAGCTGTATATCTTCTCTGGCACTAACAGGCTAAACCAGTTTTGCGCAAAGGTCTGCTTCCACCAAATCTCGTTTGACACTGAGCAACAGGTCAGTGGTAATGAGCCCATATATGCAAACAAACTCCCCAAGTAAGATTCCTAATCTTAGTTGCTGAATGCTGGGGAAAGTGTCCTGAGGCAAAATAGCCAGAATGCAGTGACATTTTAATCAGGCAAGGACAAGCCACTGGTATGTAGCTGGAGTTGAGTTCCAGTGTCACTGAGAGTTTCCAGTCCCAGCTCTCTCGATTCCTGTTTTAATTAGTGATATAATATTTGCTCTCCTGTAAAGTTTGAGGTTATGTCATGTGGCTATATTGTCAAGACTAATAACGTTGCAGCCAGGTCACTTAGTTCCTGGATAGGAGACTGCTAAAAAGCGGTGGAACAAGAGCTGAATAAATGAATAAATTAAATGGTATGCTGAAAGGAGTAACAGAAACCACAAATATGCATGGACGTCGGTGCAATTTCACAGGTTGCTTTTCTGACAGATCCGTAGGCACAATTGTTATATGGCCAGTTTATTGTTTGCATCAGTTCTTCCTAGGATTATATGAGGCCGGATCACTTTTCCTTCTCCTGCTTCAGACTGACAGATGCTGCTTTGCATAAAATAAATATTTTAAAGTTTAAAAAAAACCTCAGAAGAGTATGGTTTGCCTGTGTCTCATGAACATATTATATGTCAGAAAAATATAATTTCTGCTAGACATTTAGTAAGAGCTGTTTTCAGAACAGGATAAATTATTTAATGCCCAGTATCAATATCAGTGTGCCAGCATGTATTCCCACTCCTTTAAAAAAGAAAACAACAACAATTCAATCTTAAGAGTTATACCCTTCTAAGTCCATTAAAGTCTGTGGGCTTAGAACTTGTGAACTCTGCTTAGGATGGCACTGTTAGATGGTTACAAAGCTGACACTAAGTAATTAGAAAAAGATTTCATTGGGGACCCAACATTCTCAAAAGTAGAGCTAAATCTCATTTACCTTTTGACATTTTTCTAGACATCAGTAAAAGCACATTTTCAATAGATAGGGATATCCTGAAGACAAATTCAAGTCACATCACCTTTGCCACTACATTTAGTTGAATTGACATAAAATATGAGAATAGATACAACTTGAAAACACTGAGATGCCATAACAAAAAATTCCTATTCTTATGCTCTTCTATTTGTTATATTGTGGTTAATTGCGCTCTGCAGGACAGATTAAGATTGATCACAAGCAGTGTTCCCTCTAAACTGAGTTAGTGTGAGCTAGCTCACAGGTTTTTAGCCTCCAGCTCACAGATTTTTGTCTCAGCTCAGGACGGATGGCTCCAGAGCAAACTAATTTATGCAGCAGCTGAATCAGTTGCTCACAACTTTCATGCCAGTAGTTCACAAAGTATAATTTTTGCTCACAAGACCTCACAGCTTAGAGGGAGCATTGGCCACAAGATCTTTCTAGGATTGAAATTGTGTTCTTTTTCATTCTTTCTCGTTGTGTGAAAGTAGCACAAAACAGGGAATCACAACAATCACAATGGTCCATGATTGCATCTAGGTTACACTGATTCCTGCTCACGGACATTACCAGGCCCTGCCATAGCACCTGTAGTGTCCTAGCTCACTACAGTGGGAACCCCAGATGTCTCATGGGGGTAGGGGAAAGATTGTGGGTGATGGGGTTGTGGTTCAGGTCTGCGGGCATGCCCCTCATGAGCCACATGGAAGCCACATGTTGTGTATCCCTGCTATAAGCAGTTGGTCTCACCCTTCAATAGGGTTGAATTGCTTCAGGAGTCCTGAGAACAATGCTTGTAGACTATTAGATTGTGGTATAGTCACCCAGTTTCAGGTCATCACCTTCAGTTTCATGTGTCATCATCTCAAACACAAATTTTTAATGAAGTTCAAAAGTTCATCTGTGTAACCTGATGTGCCAAGTTACCAGATCATGAATATTCAGATCAATCCTAAATGTGTTCCAGAACGTGGAAACTGGGACTTGTGAACATTAATTGCTCTTCCCCTTTTAAAGTGATAGCTATTGTTTGACCTGTGCACATGTCACGATTCCACAGTGGCACTGTGGAAACATGGAATTCAGCATCCTAAAAATATCAAAGAAGAACATGTGGTGTTAAAAAGGTATGTGCCAGGTGAAGTTTTCACAGGGTGTGTTTGTATGGATATAGATGGGGAGAGAAGACGGAAGGGGATTTCCAGGGATTGGGTAAGGGTTCTAATGCTCTTGATCTGGAGAAACAGAATCAATGCAGAAAAATAAATACTTATTATTTAAGCTTTCTTCACTGGCTTAATAATGCCATAGCATGGTCAAAACTGTCCACATATACTACCCAGTTATGTTCCCGAGGATCAGGGACTCTTGTGAAAAATATGAAGGACAAAGTTGAAGTCTGTAGCAGAAACATCTTTCTTTTGCCAGAATGTCAGTTCTCTAAACAAACCAAATATATCCTACGACCCTTTGGAAATCCTTAGTGCAATCCTTGGGTGAGTGTTATTTACCTTCTCCCACCTGCCATATATTGTGGGGGCAGTCCAGGCTGAGTAAGAATGGCTCGCAAAAGACCACATGAGTTCATGGAAGGGACACAGTTTCAGTGAAGGAGATGTCCTGATGCACAGCCCGGTTACCTAGCCACAACAAGAACACATACGCCCTAGCTAAAAGCAGAACACTATAAAACGACAATTTCAGAATTTAGAGGAACCAGACCCATGTTAACAGGGTAGAAAGAATTAAGGAGCAACTCACACAGAGTTTTCTAATATCAAAATATAGCAATTTATTCAAGACACTGAATATGATCTGTTGATTCTCTCCTTGAAACAAATGAACTACAACACACAAGGCGATCTGCTGACAGAGAGAGAAAGAGAGTGTGAGTGCAAGGGAGGGTGTGTGTGGAGAAAACGGAAGCAGGGAGAAAGGAAGGGAGAGCATATGCTGTTTCAACAGAACCTGGGAAATGCTGAAAAGAGAACCAAGTCTGGCTTCAAGTCTGACACAGACAATAAAAACTTAAGAAGCCAGAATTCAGAATTATCAGTAAGTGGCTGAAAGAACAAATTCTGCAAATGACAAAGAACCACATTTTTTAAAAAAAACAAGGCAAAAAAGAAACAAAGACAAAAGTACCCCCCCAAAAAACCCCGAAAGACGACCCTTATGTTTGACAAAGTGCACTTCCCTTGGCTCTAAAGTTAGCTAGTTTGTTTTTTAAAGAACAAAAATAAAAATATAATTTCTAATCTGTGTGAGGGAACTAATACTTGTTGATCCCTCCCATGATCAGGCCATGGGATGCCCCGTAGAGTGACCACATTAAAGATGCAGTTGCCTCCTCCCCAGAAGAGCTTGCGGAGCTATTCACAGTGCTGACCATCTCAGATGAATCCAGGTGCAATTTTGTAATATTCCAGAACTGGCAACAATAAAACTAGCTTAAATCCACACATAAATCCCTATCTGGTCATGTTGGCAGTGAAACAGCAGTATAGTTCACTGGAAACACAACAGCTCTGCCACTCTCTAATATGGTGGACCTAACATGCCCTGATTTGTAAACACAAGGGGTCAGCAAATGAAATACAGTGTTATTTCCATACACTGTGAATGATAGACTTTGATCACAAAGATCAGTTTTAAAAACATCACTTGGAATAGAATTCCACAACCAGGCCATAGGCCACTCTGGATATATCTCACAGTAGTTATTGAAATATATGAATCAGAATAGAAATATCACTTTAAAAAAAAGAAAACTAAATTTCTGAAACAAGTAATTATAATTACCATCACAAAGTCCTGCCAATGAAACTAAAACACGCAAGCCTTTTGTCATTTTCTCTTGCAGAAGGCTGATCAAAAAGAAGCAGCACCTTGACCTTTGTTGCTTTAGCAAAATGCCTTTTATGAGGAGATAAAAGGGACACTGCATCTTTAAATGTGTATCAGATTCCATTTGCATTGTTCTTTCAAATGACTAACACAATCCAGTCTACATCTGGTGGACACTTTAAGCTTCTAAAATTGTGTTTAACATAAAAAATACTTTTTTCCTCTCCAAAAATACACTGGGTTCTTTCTTTTTTCAAAAAGTCATTTTTCTCCTGTAAAAAGCTTTCCCGGCACTGCATTCTTACATAAAGCACTTATTACACAATCTGATGAAAGTGCCCTTGAGACTCTAAGATCTGAAGCATGGAATAATTTAAAAAAACAGAAGAGGAAGAAGAAGCTGGGAGAGGAGGAGAAAGGGGAGAGAAGAAAAGAGGAGAGAGAGGCAGTCTCTTACACCTTTTCATTTTGCCCACCTGGCTGCACCTACTGAAGGCATAAAGGAGGGGGTGGGGGAAACCCCAGACCAAAAAAAGGAAAAGAAAAAAGAAAAGACTGGAAAAAGAGAAGAAAATATTCAGTTCAAAGCTAAGCCTGTGATCCTCAAGGCCTAATATTCCAGCTGATAGGAAAACGAAAGTCCACTGAACAAATAAAAGTAGTCTAGAAGATACAAAGTGTTGTGATTACAAAGTTGCACGTGTTGTTGGTACAAACTGGTCTTTGAATGTCCTTTGGGAGAGCAACTGTAGTGTCCCGATTGGAAGGGAAAAAATACTACACCACATGGAGGAGGAGGATTCTTCTTTCCATTTTGGTTTAATCAAAGCACTTTAGCTTTATAGGTTTATTATTATATTATTATTTTTGGCACAGCTTCTCTTCTTCTCTTCTGTAGCCATCAGACTGAGGTCTTGGAGACCCAAATCAAACAGGCAGGCTTTTAGCTGGTGATGGTCTTCTTGCTTCCATAGGCTCAAGGTTCTAGGTGGAATCTATCCCCACACCCTCCCCCCTAAGTGACTGTATGTTATTTGACTCCTTGGTGAATGTTATGGACAAAACATTGCAGGCTCCAGGCACCTGGGAGAGCTGTGTCTCTTCCACACTTTAGCTTCCCCCCCGTTCCTGTTTGTTTCCTCCCAGTTCTTGCAGTCCTAGCGATGTCAAGAATAGTTTTGAAGAATGCTTCTACCCACACATTCAACTGCTGGTCCATTTGCAATTTAGTCTAAAGCATTTACTTTCGCAAGTCTAGAACACAAACCTGAGAAGGGAGAGAGAGAGAGAAAGAGAGAGAGAGAGAGAGAAAATGACATGGGAAAAGATCAAAAACATGGCCAAAAATGTTATATGGTGACATTAAATTGTGTTCTTGGGCTCCCCGGTAATAATGGATAATAATCTAGGCCACACAACAGAAAATACTGAAGAAGGTACAATTTCACGTTCTCTTAGGGCAGGTTTACTTTCTCACCTGATGGAAGATATTCTTTGCCTGGTAGAGCGACAGGCAAATACAGACAGGTAGAGAAACCCCACATGCATAAATAAATGTGCAACCTGGTCATTCTGTACCAAGAGTTCTATTAAGACAATCCTTCCCCCTAAAAAAAGGAGGGGGGTTGTTCAATTCAAGCTTGTGTGTGCAACTACCCACAACCTATACTCTGGTTTCTCTTCAGATCGCAAACTACCCACAACCCATGTGCTGCCAACATATGAAAAGAGTTTCTGGAAAGGCAATAGTTTAGACTCATTTTTCAATGATGTCATAAGGTCAAAATTCAATACAGCCTTTGGAGACTTCCCAAAATTCTTGTAACACAGCAGGGATAACATTTATGAAAAACAGCACAGTTTCTCCCAAATACCATGAAAAACCCACTTAGTTTATGCAGTGGTACTAAAGGGGTGCACCATGTACCTAGCAATGGCTCTAGGTACATGGAAATTTGCCAGATATTTCAAACACTGGCATATATCCAACTTCCCAGAACAGGATTTTACTGCTTCACCTTCCCACTGCAGCACACTGAGCCACTTTGATAGCATTATTTTCCTGGGTATCAGTGGATGCTCAAGAACAACTTAGTGGGCGAACCAGGAGTTGGCAGTAGAAAGCAGGAAATATGCAGGAATTGCCACTCGCTCTCCTGCAAACAGAAATGCTGCTCCAACAGAGGAACTGTGTGAGTGGACACATGCCACTGAATTCAATGGGCCAAGTGTTGCACTGAATGCAACACTTCATACAGCTGGCAAGGTGGGTTCAGGCAGACAAAATCTTATATCAAAGTGTCTGCAGCAGACTAATATGGGTACCTTTCTGAATTCCATTTGAAAGCCAAGTACTCAGCTGAGCTTCCCCCCCCCCCCCCATGGACAAGTATACTTAAACAATGTTTGAGTCCAATGGCACCTTTAAGACCAACAAAGTTTAATTCTGGGTATAAGCTTTCTTGTACATGCACCGGACTCAAACTTTGTTCCATTGCTTCAGACCAACATGGCTACCCACTTGAAAGTAGACTTGAAGCCCTCCACATGGGTCCCCATTAACTCAAAAAAGATCAGCTGAAAAACACAGAAATTTTGTTCTTTTGTGGGCTAAATTTAACAGCAGTAAATAAAAGCATATCTACAAAAGGCTTACCGATCCATCAGATGCACTGGCTCCCACTTTATCTCCTCTAGCGTTCCAGCAGACTTCAAATATTCCCCCCGTGCCTCTGTAGCTATGTACCAGACTTCCACTCTAAGTAATAAAAATAAACGTCATCATCATAATTTAGGAATAAATGTTTCGGATTCACACTTTTACTGCAGGAATACACACATTATTATCAGTTATTATTATCAGTTAAGCAATACACACATTATCATCATTTTCAGTTTTGGATCCATTCTTTTTTATCTGATCAGACTTTCAGGATAGCCCAACCAAAAGGCAGATTTACAGTTTGGGTTCTACTATGTTTTATCATTAATGCATGGAGCTGGTGGGTAAGATTCACTGAAGATTTTTAGGGAGGTATCATCAAAATGTTGGTGATACCCAGAGCATTAGAGAACTTGAAATATTATCATCACCCTGAAATATTTGGCCCATAAAAATGTGATTTTTTTAAAAAAAAATTAAGCATTTAATATAACATCTGGCACAATGAGATTTACTTGGGAAGGTTTTTAACTGCATACTCTTACAAGGCAAGTTCATTTCAATTAACGTTTTAAACATTTGTGTTATAAAACCACCCTACCTGAGTATTCCATATATGGACACATTTGTCAAAGGACCCACTTGCTAAGTATTTTCCATCAGGACTAAACGCTACGCTGTAGACGGGTTCTTGATGTTTGGTTAATGTGTGAGTGCAGACTCCCCTCTCAACGTCCCACAGTCGAACAGTAGAGTCGAACGAAGCACTGTGGGAAACATTTAACACCAAAAGGTTTCCCAGCTGTTTGAAAGACACTGCTAAATTTAAATTCCATGCAAGTCCCAGCATCATTTCATAGGGTTAGGGAACATGTTTGTAGCTTTCTGTAAGAACATATAGTTTTGCACATACGTTTCTCGCCTCCCTCTCCTCATCCCATCCCAACAACAGTTGATCAGTGGCACACCAGATGGAATGTTAACTTCGAACTCTAATATCACTGTTCAGATTCCATTACTAGTTGTGGAGCTCAACAGATAACTCATCAGTTTCTTTCAATGTCACCTATCTTATAGAACAGTAGAAAGAATAAAACAGCAGGAAAACCACTCGTATGCTATGTAGGACAGAGAGAAGAGAACAAAACCCAACCAGCAACAGAGGAGCCAATGAGAGCGCACCTCCAACCCTCAATAGGAGCTGTGGGTCTGGAAGCAGGGAGTCAGTTTTTAGAGTTGACTTTCCATCGGTTGGGGAGTAAAGAGCAGAGTTGGGTGAAAGGGTTAGTGTAACAGAAGAGGGGATTAAATCAGGATCAGATCATTTATAACAGTATGATCAAAAGTGTAGCATAATATAAAAGTCTGCTTGGAAAGGGTTTCCCTGCTTGGGAAGCACAGCTTAAAAACTGACATCCCACACCTCCATGTGACCTGTTAATATTTATTTCCTTCCATTTTTGTTTTTTCCCAATAAACACCATTCTTGATCTGTTTTAAAGAGCATATCCCTCAGTTATTGGCCACATACCTGGGTGGGTTTTATACCCAAACTGGAATTTTATCCCTGAATTTATATTCCCCTGGGATCCCTAGTGCAACGGGGAAGGTAAAATCTAGGGTGGTGATGCCTCCCCAGTACAAGGTAAAGGACTTCACATATCCTTTTGCCATGTATGCTTCTCTGAGCAGCTTAGAGGAAGAACCAAAATTATCTGATCAAGTCAGGCCGAGGAACATACATTCACTCCTTCAATTCTTTATAGCTTGGTATAAGTGATCTGTAACATTGTTTACACATCTTTCCTCCAAGGAGTTCAGAGCAATGTACTGGTTCCTCTCTTCCATTTTAGCTATATAACAGTCTTATGAGGTAGGTTAGTAACCAGACAAAGTTCACATGGTCCAGCAGTCAAGTCATTGCACCACACTGGCTCTTGAAGTTATAATACTGCATGTACCTTGCTAACATAACATTGGAGTTCGGGTTGCTGGTGCCTGGTCCCGTCGGACTCCATTTGATAGTATAAATCTCTTTGTTATGTGCCTGAAGGTCATGTACACATGTATCTTGCTTCATACTCCATATCTGTTAAAATCAGAGGAGAAAAACATACATAAATTATAATCTACAGTTTAGTTTACTGTTATTATACTCAATAAAACAAGTTGTAAGGGGAAAAATGGCAATTGCTATTTCTGGATATTTTTTAACAATGCACTAGATTTAAAAATATATGTATGCAAAAATTAGCAATTGAATTGAAACGGTATGAACTATGTCTAGTCAATCTTTTACAACAGGTTTGTAAAATACAGTACAGTCAAAGGCTTCCTAGGAGCCTGTTTTACCTTTAATGTCATATCGTCTGAGCAAGATGCTAGAAGCATACCAGAAGGATCCCACTTGATTGCATTGACCTCATTCTGAAATAAAGATTTCTTTTATCAGTAATTATTGCATACAACCAGCTTTGTAGCTTTTAGTCAGAAGAGGGCTCTCTAGATTTATTAGAAAGACAAATAAAACAACCACATTTTACAGTACAGGTTTTCTTATTCCATTCATGAAAGATAACAAAAATTCTGTTCAGTGGCACATCATCCAATCCTCATGCAAAGTATTTTATATATAATCAGCTCTCTTCCTGCACTGTCTTCTTTACATGATGTAGTTGAACCATCTATGGCCCCGATCACATGCAGAATTTTCCACGGGATACTCACAAATGCCGGCAGGATTTAACTGGCGCGATCAAACGGACACATCTGGCCAGCGTCCTGCACCCGTCGGCAACCCGTAGCAGTCAGCCAAAGAAGCGGAGTAAAAAACAACCACGGAAAGTCCACTATCAAACAAGGTTGCGACAGGCCGAGGACGGAGTTGCCGGTGTGATCGCTCCAGCGCACTCCGATCGCGTCACTGGTTCCTGGATGAAGTGCACCGGAAATCAGCTGCAAGGAATAACACTCGCTTCACCCGCCGTTGTGTCGGGATACACGCAGCGGCAGGTCAAATTACCGTGGCTCAAACAGCCTCACCCCCCCCCTCGCATTTTCTGGCATGTGTGACTGGGACCTATGTTATTTAAATTTCTAATTTTTAAAAGGTTTTTCCTTCTGTGCTTAAAATTTCTCACTTGTAGAAATAAAACCTTATTGGTGCATGAGGATTCATGACTTCAAATAATGTCTTAAAGGATCAGGGTCCATTTACGGCTCATCAAATCAGGTGCTTCAATTATCACGTAAAATGTCAAAAGGGCCATTTATAAACATACCGTATGGCCTTGAAAAGTCTTGACGGGACGATCACAGCCAAGCCTGCATACATGTATGCACATATCAGTGCTGCAGGATGCAAAAGCAGTGTTGTTCTGCCAGTCCACATCCAGAGCAGGGGCTGCAAAAGGGAAACAAAAACAGAACATTCAGAAATTGGGCAGGGATAAAGACACCCAAGGCCACTGTCCTTGCTACCAAAGACAGGATTGCTAATATTCTAAATGCATGCCGTAGCATGCCCTTTCTTACATGCCCAGGGAAATGCTGACTGCCACTTTGGGGTCAGGAAGCAATTTTTCTCCAGGCCAGTTTTGCTGGAGATCCTGGAGGTTTTTTGTCATCTACTGGGCATGAAGTAGTGGTCACTGGGGGTGTGAAGGGAGAGGTATTGTGAATTTCCTGCATTGTGCAGGGGGTTGGACTAGATGAGCCTTGATGTTGCTTCCAACTCTATGATTCTATATCTCCCTGAAAGGCTGGAGTAGCATCCCTTCAAAAACAGCATAGCACTATGACTTGTAGCACTGAGTGAGTGTGCAAAGAGAAAGGTTCCTTACCTCGTTTCCCTCAACAAGCAAGTTAAAGAATGGACCGTTCGTTTGACTATCAGGAACCCTACCAAGGAGCCTCTGCTGAGGTTGCAAAATGATTCTACGCTAGAGAGACATAACTCCCCCCCCCCCAGTTTACTGACTTAGGACAATTCATATTTGTTGACTAGATAGCTGTCAGCCCAAGAATGATATATTTTGTGTTGAAATGAAGATGTAACATGAGACATATATATACTTTAACAAAACCAGGAAAAGTCGAGTATCATGAGTCAAGGCTGGAAGTTTGTGTTTCTATTTTCAATTACTGTTATGCACTGAAGATGCTTTGCAATATTTTATGGTTTTCACCAAAGCAGTTTTTACTAAGATACCCTTTGTGAACTGATTCCTGTCTCACAGGTAGAATCAGCCAAACGGTGAGACAGATGCACCCCACCCCCCATTGTTAAGGAAACAGAATCCCACCAAAGCCCATCTCTGCTTTTAAAACATGCTGGAGATTGATTAAGTATAGCAGGCTTGTTTTGATCTGCTGTTTTGTTGTGATTTTTTTTTTAAAGAGAACTAAAACAGTATGTGTTTTATTAGTGAACTGTAAACTACTTTGTGTTTGGTCGAGATACAACATGTTTTTAAAAAGTTTAAATATATATATATAGGAGGCCAATTACCTGAGTGGAAAGGAAACTGCTGTTTAGCTTCTCCTGTATGAGCATCCCAAATTATTGTTGTCTGTGTGGTTCAGGGCAGATTGGGGAGGGGGGGAGCAAACAAACAAGCATACACATTAGTGACCATCCTTGAGGAGAAAAGCACACTGATGACTACTGAAAACTTGATCTGTTCTAGTACTGTACATAAAATTATCTTTTCCATGCACCATCACTAATAAAACTTAATACTGCATTCAGTAACCACAATATAGGAAGAGGAAAGACTGCTGTGCTCCAAAAGAGAATTGTCTGGGTGGATTTATACTCAGTCATGGAGGCATGGTAATACTTGCCTTGCCACATGGTCAAATGCTACAGATACCATAGTGGTCATGTGAGTTAAGGCACTTAATTATGATCCAAACCATGTTTATGCTGTCAGAAGACAGAAACACATTGAGATAACAAACAATATTTAATTTAATATTCAGATATCACATTGCATCACTGGGGATGTAAACTTTTCCATCATCCAGACTGAAGATGGTTCTCATACCCTTGTGCCATCCTGTACTTCAAGTGGGAAAATATGGTTTTACAAACCATAGCTTGTCCATATGTAATGGAAAAGTATGGTTTGATAAAAAGAGGAAGTCTAGAAGGTTGCAAGAGGAAGACAGAACTCAAATTTGGTTAACAAATGCCCCAGACCTGGTTTTCTGTTAAGTATGAACCAAGCCAAAATGTTAACAAACAAATGGGTTTCAAGTGCTCATTTATGCTTAGAAAAAAATAGGGATTTTAGGGGTTTTTTCCCATGTGCCTTAATAAGATTTCCCACTAAACTTTGATGATAGTACAGTATTCACAATACTCTCAAATGGTCAATCCTTCAGCATTATGTAGTATTCTCAATTCTTCAGACACTAATTTCTGGCAATTCTGGCCAAGAGCCACAACCTACATTCATAACTCTTAATTCAATACTTCAAGCTAACAATAGAATTGTGAAAAGTGATGTTCAAGAGGGATGACAGTTTAATTGAATTGCTTCCTATGGTATACTGTTCGGCCCTGGGATATGAATGTCTGCAAATGCATAGTTGCAAATGCATGCAAAAATACCAGCAATGTTTCTCAAAATCACCCCCCCCCCCAACCCTTTGATGGAAAATTCACTACACTATACATGCAAAAGTACTCAGAACACCACCAGATTTATACTGGAAAGTTAGCTATTTCAACACTCACTTTGTCAACACCAGCACTTAAAATGTAATTCCCCTTTTTGTTCCACTTGAGAGCAAAGATGGGCCCTTTATGTTGACCTAAGGTGCTTGCAAGGTTCCCTGAAATAGACAAAGTCAACAGTTCAAGTGGTTTGGGAACGGAAATAAGACAGCACCATCAAATCATTTGGAAACAGCTGCTGTTGAATCTTACCATCTTCTGTCCATATTCTTGCAAAACCATCGTAGGATCCTGTTGCCAATAGCGTTCCATCACTCTGGTGGACATGTCAAAGGGAAATCAAGAAATGTGTTCCATAAGACACATGTAATACAACTGACTCAGCTGTGATACACTCATATATGCAGATGCACTTTTCACACACAAGTCTTCAAAAATAACAGAAATCAGAAGTTCTGCTGAACAAGAGGAAGTATCAATATTGAACTGCTCCCCAACTAAAGGTTACTGCCTTGTTTAACCAATAATGTGAGGTGAAAGTTTTCCAGAATGAATTTTCTGATGCTATATTTTTCTGCGGAAAATCCTCTGTCCCACATATGTAAATATAGTCTCTATTTCTCTATAGCTGCCAGGGCTGTTATCCTGTAAATCAATCACATTAGATGGGCTAAATGTAGGATATGTAGCATGGACAAAACCCCTAATGCTTGTACAGGATTCAGGCTTGTACAATGTGCATTTGCCTTCTTTTACTAACATTGTCTAAATTTTGCTGACAATATTTATCTATTTTAATTTGAATCTGAAAAATGTCTGGTTAATTTTCCAATCCACATTTCCCCCGAAAACCCATATCACTGTGTTCAACTTAACCCCTGGTGGCTTTGCCAACATCAGTTTCCACCCAAACCCCATCTCTAATATGGAGATAAGTACACTGGTCTATCCTACGGGATTATGGTATGACGGCTGAGAAAATGGATGTGAAGTACTATGAACCCTTAAGAGCAAGAAAAAATAGTATATAAATACAACATAGTATATTAGTACTGCCCTCCACAACACATAACCACAAACTGAACCATCGTGCAAATAACCTTCCAATGGGACATAAATAAGGATAAGCTGCTGCATTTAATGACCTCCTAATAGTTTTAATGACATGGTTTAACCTACTAATCTCCCTAGTCCTTTTCTTTGTATGCATGTCCTTCACCCTTCTGCTTCCTCCCCACTGAAAATCAGACAACAACCATTTGTGTCTGAGAAGTGTCAGGAAAACTGTGCAAAAGGTATCAGCAATGATCATGTGAATATCTTTAAGCATGAGATACAACACCAAGGGGAGCAGAATATCACCCTTAGCACATTTTACTAAATGTCTGTTAGAGACAAAAAGAATCTTTCACTCCTAATTGGACACTGCAGAACTTGTCATTTGCCTCCTAAACATTAAAGTTCCTTATGCTATTTGTCTTCCATATGAAATCATGCACCATTCCCTTATAAGCAAACGTGTTTGTTCTCAACCTCTGAAGTCATTCTGCAAAAGCATTTAACAAACTGTTGATAGTTGTGCTGGTGCAGAATGGAAATTGGCTGTGGCTTTTTGTATGGATGCTGGAAGGAAAAGTGGTGGGAGCCAACAGCAATGTAAAAGAGGCATTTCAGCTTCATACCAGTTGAATCATGAGCCTTTCTTCTTGTTACTTCTGAATAATAAAAATTATTTAGGCTTTCACCCCAAAGTTTGCAACATCTTTAATTAAAAAAGGGTCCATGACATTGAACGCCAGCTAGATCTAATAAAACCCCCACATTTTATGATTTCTGAGAAACACAGATATACTATAAATATGGCCCAATATCTAAAAATGTAGAATATCCCCCTCATACGAGGGCTTTTACCCTTGCTAGATGCAATGTATTGCCATCTAAGTAACAGAAGGGAGATATCAGAAGATCCCATACACTGAAAGGATATGTGCATGTTCCCTCGGTGAGGTGGAAACATTGGAACATATTTTTTATTCGTTGTCCCTTTTATAAGGGGACAATCCTCCTTATTCTGGAACAGTCTATGCTTATATCGGATAAGATAGCCTTGAAGACATTACTGCTTGATGAAATAGCTGCAGTCACTAGAGTGACAGCTAGGTTCTGTGCCCAGGTGATTAAATAGAATAATAGTTTAAACAGGAGCTTTGCTTTCTGATCTTGAGGGGCCAATATACTAATGACGATATGTATACAATTTTATTAATATATATTATTGTTGGACTAGTTCAATTATAAACTGGATGTACATTTTTATTTATTTATTTATTTATTTATTTATTTATTTATTTAACCGGCACCCTGTGGAAGGAGTTGTTGTACTTCTCACTCCTGGTTCGGCTGCTGGCGATTGCTGGCTCGGCGCTTTGTTCCGTTCTCCTTCTTGCGATCCTCGGTGTCAGCTGGTAGGTCCATTCGGTGCACGGCTCGTATCGGCGCGGCCTTGGCTCCATCCATCGTGGCTCCGCCTGCGCCTCACGCTCCCCTGCGTCTCCTGGCTCCGCCTGCCGACATCTGGTCACAGCTCGCCGATGTTGTGCTCAATCGCCATTTTTCGCCGCTCGCCATCGAAGTTCTTCACTCGCCACCGATGTTCCACCCCCTTAATGGGGAAGGGTGCTCCCTGCCATCTAAGGCAGGTACCCGATTTATCTACTCACATCATGATGTAATTTATTGCTTTCAAACCGCTGGGTGGGCGGGAGCTAGTACTAGGGCCAGGAGCTCACTCTGGCCGTGGTGGATTCGAACAGCTATAGCAGCTGTTCGCAGATGTTACCAGCAGGTGGGTCTAACCACCTGCGCCACCGCTCCCTTTATGGCAGATTCGTATTGTATCCTATTTTTGTACTCTGTTGTATTGTATCCTATTTTTTATCTGGTGTATGACTGTTCTTACAATAAAACAAAACAATAACACAAACACCCAAAAGTTATGCTGAAAGACCCCCATTTTGCAAGAGACATGAAAACATTTTGGAGTTCTAAGGGGAAAGGCCTGAATTAAGGGAGAGGTTGACAGTGGGATACTGTTAAGAACATAAGAGAAGCCACAGGAAGTGGTGGCGGCTACAAGCATGGACGGCTTCAAAAAGGAATTAGATAAGCATATGGAGCAGAGGTCCATCAGTGGCTATTAGCCACAAGGTACAGATAGGGACTCTGGGGCAAGTGATGCTCTGTCTTCTTGGTGCTTGGGTGGGGTCAACAGTGGGGAGGGCTTCTAATGTCCTGGCCCCACTGGTGGACCTCCTGATGGCACCTGGTATTTTTGGCCACTGTGTGACAGAGTGTTGGACTGGATGGGCCTTTGGCCTGATCCAACATTGGCGTCTCTTACATTCTTATGTAATGTTGGATCAGGCCAATGGCCCATCCAGTCCAACACTCTGTATCACACAGTGGCCAAAAATACCAGGTGCCATCAGGAGGTCCACCACTGGGGCCAGGACACTAGAAGCTCTCCCACAGTTGCCCCCCCCCCAGCACCAAGAATACAGAGCATCACTTGCCCCAGAGTTCCTATCTATACGTTGTGGCTAATAGCCACTGATGGACCTCTGCTCCATATGTTTATCTAATTCCCTCTTGAAGCCGCCCATGCTTGTAGCCACCACCACATCCTGTGGCAGTGAATTCCATGTGTTGATCACTCTTTGGGTGAAGAAGTACTTCCGTTTATCTGCTCAGCAATTTCATTGAGTGCCCACGAGTTCTTGTATTATGAGAAAGGGAGAAAACTACTTCTTTCTCTACCTGCTCTAACCGATGCATAATCCATGGCTGGTTTCCTGCTTCTAATGTATTTGAAGAAAGTTTTATTGTTGGTCTTTATGTTTTTTGCTATATGCTCCTCATATTCTCTTTTTGCCTGCCTCATTGCAGACTTGAATTTTAATTGCCACAGCCTGTGTTCCCTTTTATCAACCTCACTGAGACTAGCTTTCCACCGCTTAAAGGAATCCTTCCTACCTTTTACAGCTTCCAATTACTTTGTTCGTTAACCATGCAGGCTTTTTTCTATACCTTTCCTAACCTGCAGTATATATTTTTTCTGAGCTTCTAGGACTATAGTTTTAAATAGTCTCCAAGGTTCCGCAATGGGTGGAAAAGAGATTTGCAAGATCAAAACACCTCCAAAGGTAGGGTTGCCAACTTCCAGGTGGTGGCTGGAGATCTCCCACTATTCTAACTGATCTCCAGGTGATTGAGATCAGTTCTCTTGGTGAAAATGGCCACTGTGGAGGTTGGACTTCATGGCGTTATGCTCCAAACCCCGCCCTTCTGAGGCCCCGCCCCCAAATCTCCAGGTATTTCCCAACCTGGAACCGGCAACCCTATCCAAAGGTCTTCTGGCAAAGTGATTCTTGCTCTAGCAGAATGCCAGGTGTCTGGGGGCTTTCTTCTTTCTTTACTCTGACATAAACGGGTGTCCAGTTATGTCTGGTAAAGTGGGGTGTTACTTACATAGCTAAGCCTGCAACCCTGTGGCTGTTTAGGCCCTGTGCTGTTTCACCTATGTAAATCAACCTCAAGATCCTATTTGACCTAGCTGTTAGTTGATTCTGTGGGGTGGGCAATATTAGGGAAATGGCTTGGGAGAAAGTTTTAGTTTCCCCTTGCCACAATACCAATCCAGTTCAGCACCTGTGCACCTTTGTTTAATGGATACATAGAGAAACAGGGAACCCAATCATAAGACCCCAGTGTCATGTCAAGTTGTGTTTTTACTAGAAAGTTAATTCTATTGGACTTGATTCTCAATAAACATGCACATGAAAGGGCTTTAATGGTGCACGGAAGAATACTACAAGGCCTCTTCATTTTTTAAAAAAGTCTCCCACCTGCAAGCCCAGTATGGGCCACTGGTAGCTTTCTTGGTCTAGTAAATCCTTTGCGTTTATTGCAAAGTTGAAATACAACATGAATGAAGAAGCTTTCAACAGCTGTCCAACAACTATAGAACTTCCTTGAGACTGAACACATGGCATATCTCTTATACGTGAGTTAAAGATTTACAGCTGAAAGGAATTATGAAGTCTACTGTGTGCAGAGTGCTTTAGCATGTGTTATCTGTACTGATTTGATTTCAGATTACTTGTATTTTTTTCATTCTAGCCTTTGCCTTACGGAGGAGAGGAGTTCTCTGTTGGGGGGGGGGGAAAGTGATTCAAGCTCCTACTTGTGCAGGAAAATGCACTTCTGCTTGAATGAGGGGGACAGGTCCAAGTGATTTCCAATTATTTCTCCTACAGAGGCTAACCACAAGAAAATTCCAAAGATCTCCTGGAATGACACAAATGATGTTTCAGGAGTGCTCTCAGGAAACTGGAGCACACAGAGGGAAGGCAAAAATTCCTACTGGGAGAGTGGAACTCTGTTTACAATCTTAATGACTGGACCATTGTGGAATATGCACATATACTTTCCATATACAGGCTCTCCAATAATGGTCCATCCATCATAACAATGGGTGTTTTGCTAGTATAAAATGAAATTGAGTTAGAATGGCAACACCAAACAACTTTAACAAAACTATAATATGTTAGTATCAACTCACATTCCAGTCTAATGATGTTACATCCTTATTGCTGGGGACATCATGGCCTCCTTCTCTTATACAGTGCCTCAAAACTAGTTGAGTGGAACTACCGTTGCTGTTTTCATTAAGATTCCATATTCGGGCTGTTGAGTCTCCAGACCTAACAGAACAAAATATACATTAAGCATAAAGAAATATTTATTTTTTTAATAACAATAAATTGATTTTCCAAAAACAAAATATTCAAACTGATGTGTATGTGTATGTGTATATATTATGCTGTTAAAGCAGAAGATGCATGAGAAAGCAAGTACATTACAGATAATCTGAATCAGTATGGATACAGTCAGCAATTTATATACTCTGGAATCTGTTCTACTCACCCTGATGCTAGCAGATCACTAACAGGATTCCAGGCACAGATAAAGACCTCCGAGTCATGGCCGCGAAGGACTGTTGCTTTGTTAGGAGGAATTTCAACATCCCCATCGATTTCCATTGGCTTTGAATGATTATCTGTAAAACAAAACATTGTAACATTTTATGTTTTCTTAGCAGCATAGCTTTACCCTGTCCATTTTCTCAACTACATTGGTACTTTATTTGATTGGTTTGTACTGGCTGCATAAAAGTACGCTTTCCTTCCACAGATTAAAGCAAAATTTAAACACTCCTTTTAAGACTAGGCTTTAAATGAGTCACAAATTATATTCTGTTTTTGGATAAACCACTGAATAGCATTCACAACAAAGAATTTTTTAAAAAAGCCACCCAGTGATTAGTTTCCTATGCCTTTCTGTACACTGCAAACCATGCAATTAGTGACAAGGAATCCTATGGGGGGAAGCAGCACATGAATATATATTCAAATATTATTTATATATGGATATTTACAAGTTGAGTACTGCCATAGCACTCAAGATAAGAAAATTATCTGTGATCTGTGAGGCAGCTAGTTCAACAAGCTGCCTCATGAGTCTGAAACCAAGCCAGATCACTGCTCTACTTAGTTCTGAACTGTCTACTCTGACTGGTAGCTGCTCTCCAGGGTTCTAAGGTTCTCTTACATCACCTGACCCTTTTAAACTGGAGATGCCAGGGACTGAATCAGGAACTTCAACATGCAAAGCATCTGCTCTGTCTCTCAGCCATAGACCCTCATTGAAATCTTTCTCATCTTAATCTCAGTCAGGCAACCTGAGGATAGTAATACTAGCTTATTTTACATGTCTGTTGTAAGGATGACTGTCATAATGTACATGAAATGGTTTGAACACTGAAGGAGCTTTCTAAAAGCTGAATATTATTAGTTACTAAATGTGCATTTGAACCCTAATACTGGGATCAAGATTACTACACTGTAAGAGGCAAAATAACTGGTAAGGATGAGGGGCTGAGATCATATGCAATATGCATAGCATAGCCAAATTAGCATATTTGTATGTCACTTTTTCTTCAGGGAGCTCAAGGCACTATATACAAGGAATGACCCAATTATATTTTCAGAACACTCTTTTCAAGTATATTAGGATGAATTTTGACAGCTACCCAGAGTTTTTCATGGAATCTGAACTCTGGTCTCATCTCAGTCTAAATCCATCAGACTATATTCACTGGACTGCACACATGTGTATATCATCAGATCAGAAATGACTACAACTTTTGTGTTAACCTGTGTCTACATGCTGCAGGGACCTGCCATTGGCCATAGCATCCCAATTTGTGTACAATCTGTGTGTTCAAAATGAAACAGACATACGCAGAAATGTCAAACAATATCAGTGTACAATTTTAATCCATAACATGTGAAGTTGCCCTCTATCTGCATGTGAAATGGAGCAATTTTGCAGAGCCATTTTGACTTGGTAAGGCCGCTTCCCCAAGATCATCCAGAAAGTTACATAGCTCTGATTTGACAACTAGGGCTGCATTATGCTGCCTGTTGGTATGGATACGTATGATTTGTTTTAGTAAGTCACATCTGGTTGTAAAATCTTCTCATCTCTTGACTGGTTCATACAGTGACTGAATGCAAGACCTGATGTTTCCTAACATTAATTTCAGCTTTAGAGTGGTGATCCCTTTTCCACAACTCACCAAGAGAACCCAAATTCTGTACCTACAAAAATATATGGATAATGTTCTTTTAGAAGGCTGTGCAATTGCATACATTTAGGTAATTTAATTAATTTTCACTAGTCACAGAGAAAGGCAAGCAGTTATGTTGGTCTAAAATTCTGCCCACCAACATTCTACTTCATTGAGCTTCAGAGTTCGCTGAACTGATCCCAGACTTTGCCGAACTGATCCCGGACTTTGAAACCAAATTATGCAGTGAAGGACTAGGAACTTGGGGTATTTTTAAAAAATTAGAAACCTAAAGATACTGAATTCTTCATTCAATAGACAGCTTTGACTGCATTTTGCATGGAATGCTGTAATACAAACAGCCGTAACCATTTGTTGCGGGGGGGGGGATGGTCAAGTCATATCCATCTGCAACATCGTTTTAACTCACTTATTGCATGTGCCCCGTTCTCCTCCCCATTCACAGTGGCTTCCCCATTCTTTGGTGTATTCTGCTGCTGAACAGCCGTTGTTGTTGCCACCGTTGCCACTGTCGTGGCGGCTGCGATTGTGGTGGCGGCGGCAGCAGCAGCTGCTGCTGCTGCTGCGCTGGCTTGCTGCTGAGCTAATTTCTCCCTGAAAGCCTGTTGCCGGGTCTGTACTACATCAGGCATTACTGCATCAATCAGAGATAAAGACTCTATAGGTCGGCCATCGAATACTGTGCCATCCTAAGGAAAGTAATAAAAAGAATAAGAATTAGAAGGTGAGAATGCTTCCAAGCAAGCAGAGCAACAAACAAGGAAACCCTAAGTAAAATATAATCATGCAGCAGTCTGTGATGTTCCTTTCCATCCAAATCAAGTATGCAGACTAGACATGGCATGGAATCTTATCAGGTATGTGCAGTGAAGGAAAAAACACTCTGATGAAAAGCATGCTGTGTCCAGATGTTCTCTATTTGAAGCATTTTACTTGAAAACATACAGAGTGAATGGCTTATGTATGTTATAGATATAGGCATTCAGAGTTTACTCAGCAATAGTATGAATATGTAACTCAAAATCCTAGTGTAGAACTTAACATAGGCACGGAATAAACTTTATTTCAAACAGTTTTATAAAACTTAATTCTATAAAGTCCTATATAATCCTAACTGTGGGGAAACACTGGCTTAACCACTCTCCTGTTCCTCAATCCCAATGGTACAAATAACAGCACTTAGACCACCTGGACCAGAAATCAGGAGACAGCCAACTGATCAATCATGCCCCCACCTCAGAAAAAATAGGTTAGGTCCAAATATGGTAGATCCAGTAGACAGAAGTACAGTCAACCAATGATAAGAAAAGACTGACGATTTTTGAGCAAAACACTTTCTT